AGAAACATGGGAGTTGTCCGCTGGTGCTCTGGTCGTTGAGTTGTGATGGGATCTTACATATAATTAATGGAGACATGGAGAAACAGGAAGTAAATAAGTAATGCTTCCATCAATCCTAAATTTTTGTTGGCTTCATTTACATGCTTTGATTTTTGGATAGGGTCAAAGCCACACACACAGGTCAATCAAACCACAAGGCAAGGATAATTGGTCATTTTACACCATCTCTTTACATTCGTCTGGTGGCTTAAACTCTCACTTTTGTTGCTTGAACACGTACATATAAATGTTCATTTTTGTGTTAGTCAAAAAGCCACACGTTCATTGGATAACACAAAAATTCATCCATTCCCAAAACGATCCAACTGCTTCGAAGAGATAGCCCAAATCATGACCCACAGCAGCTACCACTGAATCATAGGTTTCGACCAAAGAGATGCCAGTGGGCCTTCCATTCTTTTCCCCGGTGTCCAACATTGTCCTGTTCTGTTCATCCAAATTTTGAGGGTGGTAATACACTCTGTACCCTCTGGGAAACATACAAAAAGCCTTGGAAAATCATGATCCATCTGTAAGTTTGGTACATCAACGAATTTTCTATGGGTCATTTTCAATAGCAAACAACGTTAGTCACCAGGCCGGCTACACCAAAATCCGTTGCGCTAGGATCGTGGCCAACAGCTTCGGTTCCTTGCGTGTGACCATGCTCACCCTGCTTCAGCTACTGGCCTTGGATCATTCCACGGTAACCAGGGGTAGGACGATCCTCCGTAATCCAACAGGAAAATGGTGAGTGAAACATGGTTGGAACTGATCCACCATCCTGGTTGGAAATCTGACTTTCAAAGCATGGCTTTTCTGATTTTCCAGGCATTTTTTCGATTGCCAGGAAAATGATGAATCGAAGCAACAGCAGTGGTGATATTTGCCACATTAGGCGAGTTGTTCCCTATGAAAATTCGCTAAGAACATGGGGGTGGCGCTGCCGAAAAAGGGCTGATTCAACCAGTACCCTCTGGTAATTTAACAGAACTATGGAAAGATCCACCATTTTTCATGGGAAAATCCACTATTTCGACTGGGCCATTTTCAATAGCTATTTTGACATAACCAGAGGGTAACCAGGAAACCGGAGATTTTAAGAATCCAAGGCTCCCGATGATCTCTCGGGTGTCAGCTCCATTGGCTGGAGAATCCACCATGAATTTCCCACAGATTTCCGGAGCTGATGACACTGGGAGCTGATGCCATCCATCTTGGGTACCCGGCCTGGTAAACGTTAACAAAAAGCTATTGAAAATCACCATGTTTTTAATAGGTAAATCAACTATTTCTATGGGCAATGTTCAATAGCTATGTAACAAATTACGAGAGGGTAGTTTTTAGTACTAACCAGTAGTAATTGATGATGGGAGAACAATGGGGATGAACAAAAACGTATATTAATGTTCTATGATTTTCTCAGCAGTTCATTGGGATATATGACATCACAATACATTAATATAAGGTGTATATATATATTATTTAATATATTATATATATATATAATATTATATATATATAGCCAAGATTAACCAAGAATATGGAAGTATCTGGATGAATTTGATCATGGCCTCAGGCCGTGTGGAAGGATGGTGAATGGGGAATCCCAAATGGCTGTAGGACAGCAGCTATTTTCAGAGCAGTGAATTACCAATTTTTAATAGGTAAACCCAGGTAAACCCTCTGGTAAACGTTTACATAACTATGGAAAATCACCATTTTTACTGGGTAAATCATGGTAAATCAACTATGGCCATTTTCAATAGCTATGTTAGTTTACCAGAGGGTATGTTAATTCAGCCAGATTGATGATGATGGGAGTACAAATGAAGAATAATGTGGGGATTACGTATTCATGTTGAGGTTTTTGGTGATTTAGCATTCCATGGGAATTGGTACAAGTAATGTTGATACTATGGATCAATAGCTATATAGCAAATGCTGTAAATACATTTTGGGGGGCATGAACATTCATTTACCACTTGTTTTGCAACCTCTGGGGGGACAGGGTTTTGACAGCCATATTTTGCTCCAGACATGGAGACTCATCTGCAGTCTGACTCAACATATTTCACGTTGAGCCCATGGAGATCCACATAGTGCTGCCCAGTGGTCGCAGTCAAGCCTTGTCGCACGTGAGACGTCCAAGGTAGGGCACTTGAGGACACGAGCTGAAAACTTCTCCAAACAACGTTTCTTGAGGCTGGTGACTGCAGAAGGTCGCATACTGACCGATCCTGAACATGATTTGCAAGCAGCAGGTCTTGGCTTCGGATTAACACCGAAGCCAAGACCTGCTGCTTGCAAATCATCTTAATTTTTGAATGCAAACCCAGATTAAAACTCCCCCGCTGTTGGGAAGGCACCATTCAATTAGCAAATTGACATTCCTCTTGGGGGGCCCTCCTCACTGGCCAACCAAGGGTGTGGGCACCATTGGAGATGAGATCTCCGATGGTTTTTGAATGGGACATTTCACTATCCCTGCAGGTCTTAAAGATGGAGACGTCATCACTGCAGTTCGGGTGGAGCCCAAAGTCGTGGCAACAGTAGGAGCTTTCGCTCTTTGGTGTGCTGAAGTTGATGGGAGTGAACTCCCATGGGGGGATCCAGGGACTGGTGGTGACAGCTCCGCAGTCGATCAGCTCAGGAATGTGCAGCAAGTTAGAGCCGCATGGTTTGCATTTGCTGCGATCCTGGCAGATGGATCTGTCGTTGGGATGATCCAACATCTGGTGACAGCTCCACAGTACAAGATCAGCTGAATGTGCAGCAGATTCGAGCCACAGGCTACGCCTTTGGTGGTGACAGCTCCGAAGTCCTGGGAGATGGATCAATCATTTGCAGCGCGCCGTTAAACGTCCGGTGCAGTGGCTACGAGCAAGGCATTTGTTGCCATCCAAATGGCTACAGTACCCTGTGACATGGGGCGATCCATTCTTGGGTGGTCTGGCTTGGAAGGCTGCCAAAATACACAAGAGGACACCTAGCTGGTGAGGATTGTCTCTCACGCTGTGAACCCCGAAGATGTTCGGTAGAAAATTGTGCGTGCGTGACTCTCTGATTCCTGTCAGGCCTTATTTTTGCATATTCTTGCGTGCTTGTGTGTGTGTGTTCACATGTTATTTTTCTGGTGGACTAGAACATATTATGATCACTTAGTCCAGATGGTGATGCAAACATGGTTCTGTGGGCTTTCAACAAACATGAACTCCGATCAATAAACCCGCGGTCACCGCGGTCCTTGGGTGTCCATTAAATCACTTGCTTTATGACTTGCTTTATCAGCAATTTCTTGGAGAGGTTCACATTCTGCCAGAATTTTTCAAACAAACCGCCTTTTTTTAATGTGGGTTGTGTGACAATAATCATTATCCATTTGTACAATAGGACATGGTTTCATAGTGTATTATAGTAAATGTACTATCCATAGTTGTACTATTATATGTAATATTGCTGGGTTCAGAACCCTTTTTTTTCTGGGTGCTTTGTGGTTACCTGGTGCATGCTCGCCACGTGAGGGGCGATAAGGGCGCCTCGCTGACTGAGGTTCCTCACATTGGACTCGATCTATCAGAATCCTGGCTGAAAATGTGGATGTAAGCGTAATAAAATCATGATTTAACGTGATTTGACCATTATTTGACCAACAACCATGGTGATATAAGATTATATAATATTATATATATAAGGACTTTACCACTTTCTGTTGCCGGATTTGATGTTTCCGGCTCTTTTTTTAGTTGCTAGATACCTCCCTTGGGTGCACCGGTGCCTCAAAAGTTTCTCCCCATGAAGATGATGATTCCCCTGTTGAAACTGTGGAGTGCATTGGATTCTTTCATTTTAGGCTAGTACACCCAGTACTGGGATGGAATACTTAACGTTTTTTTTCTCTACGTTCAGCTCACATCCATGGGAGGAGTCCCATTCTGGATCAGACGACCTTCACACGTTGCAAGGTTCATGTGGCCCGCTACTAAACGAAAAAAAATCGAGCTGATCTGAACATTTCTCTATTTTTTTTGCTTGTCGAAAAAGCAACTAACGTTTGGTAAACAAGAAATCCCACCGGAAAGTTCCCATGAACTACAAAGAAACGCTTTTTCAATGCCCAAAAATGTCAGAAGATCATCTGCGGATTTTGACATTTTTGATCGCCTTAAGGCTCCCTTGATGCAGTCAGCCTCGGGCAGTTTTGGATGGTTTGCCATCAGGATTTTTGTGGATTTTTGTGGTTAACCCTATGAACAGATGGTGAACCCTATGTAAAACACTCAAAACAGATGTATTTTGAGTTGAACAGATGTATTTTTTCCTCACCCAGCACATTCGGTGGATGTTTGTGGTTAACCCTATGAATCACCCCCAATTATTTGTGGACAATCACCCTCACCCTAATGGATTCTTAACATATTATAACATATTATAACATATTATAACATATTATAACATATTATAACATATTATAACATATTATAACATATTATAACATATTATAACATATTATAACATATTATAATATATTATGGCATATTATAACATATTATAACATAATATAACATATTATACCATATTATAACATATTATAACATATTATAACATATTATAACATATTATAACATATTATAACATATTATAACATATTATAACATATTATACCATATTATAACATATTATAACATATTATAACATATTATAACATATTATAACATATTATAATATATTATGGCATATTATAACATATTATAACATATTATAACATATTATACCATATTATAACATATTATAACATATTATAACATATTATAACATATTATAACATATTATAACATATTATAACATATTATAACTGTGGTTACAAGGATTATAACATATTATAACTGTGGTTACAAACCACTTGCGATTTTTGGGCATATTCCAACGATATAACAAGGGACGGCGATGTTGAGGATTTACATCCCTTTGGTGATCGAGAAACCAGGTGGGCTTCGGGCGGAAATGGGGGACGAACCACAAAGACGGGGTCATGACAGCAGTAAAGCACTGGATTATTTCTGTTTTTTCTCAACAATCGTTGAACTATAATACATGATAAAAGCAACTTAAATGGATTCTGGATTAAGTAGATAATAATCATCAGAAATTACTACAACGATCTCACGTCGTGATGTCATTGGAATGATGGTGAGTGTGGGGAATCAGCCCCTCAAAGACCTGATGACGTTATGGGTTTGTCTAAACATGGGGAATTTCTACCTCCAAGTAATGGCAAATTTAAGGGGAACAATGACATTTAGTTCGATGGCTTTTTCAGCTATAAACCTCTAGTTCTGGCAGTCTGGGAACTTCAACCCAGCCACGTTTGAAGACACTGTTGCCATGTCGCAAAAACACTTCAGAACCTCAAGAGATGACTTGCTCACAATGCAATTTCTCTTGCCAACGATCCTCCAACCATCGATGAGTTCGTCCAGCTTTTGAGGAGCAAGTCAAAAAGCATTTTCAACTCGAACGAAGCAAGGCTGAGAGCAAAGATCAAAACCCCCTTCCTTGAAAATGACCGTGTGGCCAAACTTTTTGTGAAACTGAAGATCGATGAGGACTTCATTCCCTACGTTCAGATCCAAAAAGAGTACATGGAGTTCTTCAACTTGGAATTGGAAGGGGTCATTACTCCTGGACAAGAAGTGGGTGACTTTGTCTTCTTCTGGAATTGTGTCATGGACTGAAGAGTCCTCAGCCATGTGAGTCAAATTTCCCAAAATCATTCTCCCTCCAAACCAATTGCTCATGAGAAAGAATGGATCGCAGTTGGGTTCGATGTCGTCGAGGTCGAAGAGTTGAAGTTTGTAGAAATGATGGAGCTTTGAAACATCATTACCCTCTGGTAAACGTTTACATAACTATGGAAAATCACCATGTTCAATGGTTAAATCAACTATAAATTGTCATTTTCAATAGCTATGTTAGTTTACCAGAGGGTAACTGAAGGAATAACAAAGCAGACCTTCTCCATCGCTCTCACCCGATGGGGTATCGACTTGTGGGCATCATTGAGCCGGGTCAACTCCTATTTTTGTCCCATCCGTGGACGAATGCAACCAACAGCAAATGGATAATTAACTTGAATATCCTCTTGTGATTTAACATAACTATTGAACATCACCATTTTTGAGACGTACATCATCGAACTAAATTTAAGTGGGCCATTTTCTATCGCAAACAGTTAAAGAACTGGAGAGTAACGTCGGATTTTAGCGGTAATTCACCGCATCGGTGACAGACGGACGGGCCGTTGCGATCTCATCGAGGTCCGAGGTTTTTCGAAGTCATGGTGCTGGGGATTCGGTAGATATCCCCTAAGGGCCTTATAATTTTTCCAATGTTTAGTGGAAACTGAATCTTCCAACCCCTATCTGGCAGGGTCTATGTTAATTTACTGAAGGGTAATCCATTACATAGCCTTATCTGGTTGGTGGTTTGGAACCATGGAATTTTATGACGTTCCATTCAGTTGGGAATTTCATCATCCCAACTGACGAACTCATATATTTTTCGGAGGGGTAGGTATACCACCAACCAGAAATTGTTGGATGGATGTTGATTGTGATCTGGAAGTGTTGCATGCACTTGCTGATGACATGAGCAGATTGTGAGGGAACTATGCCTTAGCCACCTCCGAAAAGGGTCAGGAGGAACGGGCCAACGATACACATAAATCTGTAGCTGCAAGATGGTGCTCCCAAATGGTAAGTGGACTATAACCCCAGTTACAAGTGGACTCACCCCACTTACCCGACTTCCGGATTCTAAAGCACTTACTAAGTTAGAGCCCATGATATTCCCATTATCATCCATTATCAACAACTAGAAACATATTTTTTGCAACTACAATGAACATCAATAAAAACCACTATATAAGAGGTTAGCTATAAGAGGTTAGCCCCTAAATGTCTTGATGCAGGTTTGATGCTTTATTTCCTGGCCATCATTCTGATTTTGCCCATCACGCTCATGAATCTGGTGCGGGTCCACGGCCACGTAGCTCTCCCATGCTACGCTGCTGGGCCATCTGGTTATGACATTCACAGGGCTAGCCATGGTTTTTCGATGGCCCATAGAACCATAGAAATAGATGGTTTACCGAACTCAATAGCATGGTGGATCTTTCCCATGGCGAACTGTTAGTCATAACCAGATGCTAGTTGATGATGTTTATGATGGGAGTTTTACACAATGCGGATACTGATAGCTATCTTCTCAACATTCATGGGATATAAATTTAAAAACCATCTGGTTATTTAACATAGCGAACTGGAAAATCCATTAAACATGGAGGTTTTACTGGGAAAATCATCTATAAATGGGCCATGTTCCATAGCTATGTTAAATAACCAGATGGTCACATATTATAACATTCTGCAAGACTGCACATTATATGTCCAACAATATGGACATATTTGGATGAACTATGATGACGTCACTGGAATGACGTCACTGGAATGCAGGAATGAGAGTGTTGCTGTGTCAGGGAAGCATCTCCCTATTTGGGCCGTATGACAACAGCTATTTTCAGGTTAGTGCATTATGTCAATTCAGCCAGAAAAAGTAAAAATTACAGTCCCCAGCTCTTCCAATCCCAAATGATTGTCAAATGATTTGCCAAGATGTTTCTTCTTTTTGGGTTCCATGTCATTTGTTTCAAGGGGTTTTGGTCCGCTTTGTTTCAAGCATCTCTGCAGTTCGTCTCAAAACATGACTTCTAGAGGTGCCAACTACCCTCTCTTGCAATCAGACATGGCTAGACCGGGAAATCCCCGAACGTTTTATGGAGGTTGATAGCTGGGAAAATCCACGCACTTGTGGATTTTCCAGCCAGGGATGTTTGAGCGCCGCAGAGTAAAACATCTCCAGGGCCAGTACCTACTCGGCGCATCACAGTTGGTGCCCCCATTGATTTTCCATCGCTGGGGGTATTTACACCCTCTGGTAACTGTGAAACAGCATGGCTCATTGAATTGGATGATTTACCTCATTTGACCTCTTAAATATGATAGCTGTGGAAATTGACCTATTCAGCCACCTTTTCACCTGGTGATTTTCCAGTTCGCAAAGTGTAGCAAATGACCGGAGGGTATCTCATTGATCTTTGGCTTTCCACCATGGATCCAGCCATGGCTTCGAAGCACTGGGGTATGACTGAAGGGCTAGTCACCTAGTCGTCAAGTCAGTCAATTGTCCCTTCGAGAAATAGCCATAGTTCCACTCGGATCCGTAATTGCCAACCACATACATAGTCTCTCGAAAAGGTGGTGTCCCAGTTCGTGAGCTAAATTGCTGTGTAACTCCAATTTCACTTGGGTTCCGTCCTGTTGTAGATATAACGATACCGCCTCGTAAGGACCTTAAGTGAATAGTGCTTCTTCCCCACCTGTCTGGTGAGGGTTGTTAGATTTCATGTCTGCTGGCCCGCCACCGCCGCCTCCGCCGCCTCCTCCGCCTCCTGCTCCTCCGCTGGACCTCAACTACAAGCTCTTGCTCGCAGTGGTCCCCGCCGGACCCGAACAGCAACTTCTGGATCAAAGTCATCCCTGCCGGACCTCAACTGCAAGCTCTTGATCGCTCTCGTCCCTGCCGGACCCGGACAGCAAGCCCAGGATCAGAGCGATCACCGCCGGACCGCAACTACAAGCGCTAGATCGCAGTGTTCCCCGCCGGACCCAAACAGCAAGATCAGGATCGGAGTGTTCCCCGCCAGACCTCAACTGCAAGCGCTGGATCGCAGTGTGCCCCGCCGGACCCAAACAGCAAGCCCAGGGGCAGAGTGTTGCCCGCCGGACCTCAGCCACAAAGAATTTCCGAAGATGTATCAGATATGAATGCAAAAAATGCCAGAAGATATGCCAGATACATAAGCTGCCAGAAGGAATGTCATAAGATTTGCCGAATAGAATGTCAGGAGGAAACCTTCGCTCTCTAGATTTCATCAGAGTTGTCCTCTCCTCCTCTTCCCTGCCAGAAAGTTGCAGAAAAAATGTCAGAATATATGCCAGAGAATATATGCCAGGGAGAATGCCAGATAGGATGTCAGAATATATGTCAGATAGAAATAGATAGAATGTTTTGGTGGGGATCACTCGAGGTAAGTAATTTTGACTAAGGACCACATGACCCAGGGCCCTATGAACAACCACAAATGGGGTGGTTCTGAACTCGTGGGAGATCCCCAAGGTAAAACCATGCTTGTTTCAATACTAAGCCGTGGTCTAACGACTTGGATGATTTGGGGGTACTACCATGACTTAGGAAACCACCATTTACAATAGTGTCCGCATGCATCCACATACAAGGTGGTACCCCCTAGTTTTAAGTTGGTTTTTTATCCCCATTAACTACAGGTATAACCCCCATAAACCTTAGATATTGGACTTATAAAACCAACTTAGCTAACTATGGGGCACCACCTTGTACTAAGTCTGCCATGGTTCCCGTGACAGGTCACAGCAGTGCTGGTTGAAAATGGAATGACTGCAGCGCAGTGACTTGGTCGAAGCTGCCAACGTACGGAACGTACGCGACTTGCGTGGAAGTATGGTATGTTTGGGGTCGGCCCCCCAGTGATGTTTGTTGGGAAATTAACTAGCAAGAATGGTGTTCCTTCATATATTGATGAAATAAGCATGGGATATCCCTAAGCAACTTAAGATGTGATCAGCAAAATTTTCAGGAACCAATTTTTTGGAGGCACCTATTTATTTTTGGTGGGTCTATGTACGGACTATGTAATGTTAGGGAATATGCCACCAATTCTTATGGCTTTATATGGTAAGGTACAGTACCTCCAGTTTATGTTCCTGAAATGGTCGTTGATATGCTACAATACGGTAATCATTGATATGTATATACGTACGCATGATATTCTGATTGTCTATGCGCGTAATAAAATACAGTACCTTTTGGTAATTGAAATTGCAGTTTGCTATGTATAATCATCATGTTACATGACGGTAAATTATCGAATATAGTTCTAGGTACTATATAACATCCAAATGTACACCATACCATACCATAACTATGTTGCAATACCAGAAGGCAACAATAACCGATAGCTGTATTTATATATGTTTATGCCATATATAGGAAACCTCCACATATATATATACATACATATATATATATGCATACATTACGGATGACTTATGACGACCTCACCGCGCAACAATGTGAATGATGGGTATAGCTTAGTACGGGGAAACGTCTCCATGTGAGGCCTAACATTTAGTACCTCCAGCATGACCGGCGGCAAGTCCGATTCATGCAAATTCCAAAGGTGTCCTTGACGGTTCACTACAGGAATCCAGTAGGGTTCATAGGACTACTCCAGTTCTAAAATGGGGTGAACTGGGTGAACTAAACCACTTGCTGGAGTAACTGGGGTGAACCACCATGTAGCACCTTCAACTTTTGGGTAGCAGCAAGTCTTTTTGGAAGTTGCCATCAAAGCAGCGGTGAAGTGTTGGTTTTGCTTGGCGACAGCCCTGGTGGTTTGAAAGTTGGATGTCAAGGTATTGAACCGATCCAAAACTTTCACAAACATTTTAGCAAGTAGATAATGTTCAAGCTGAATGTATAAGATTATAAGTGGAATAACGCCCTACAAACAACGATAAATCATGCATGATGATGCCATTCATAATTAATTATATATAATAAATGAGTGGCGATGGATATGGGTCCGCTTTAGCGCATCCTGCTCCGTCCCAGCTGCGATCCGGCCCCAGGAAGGAAGCAGAATTCGAGACGAAGGTCCGTACTGAAGTCCGTCCGAATGTTGAGTCGCTGATGCTTTTGATGAGATGATCTCCCAAAAGAAAACAGTATGCATATAGAATATGAAATAGTATCATCTAGTACAATATATGATACAAGATATTACATAATCTAATCTTATCTAATATAATGTAATATACTTTGATATATGATTTGATATGATACAATCTAGAATAATATCATATAATATAATACTCTATAATATAATAAATATAATATGTTATGCTTTGATATAATAAATAAGAATCATAGAATATAGTATAGTAACATATGATATAGTATGGCATGATATAATATGATATGATATAATCATTAAAATCAAATATTATAATATATAAAGTTATAATATCCCTACAAGCTACTTGAATGTACGAAGGGGAGGGCCTAGCTAATGTACAGCATGTTTTCGTACATTATGGGTAACCCCAGGAGCTGGTTCGTACATTTCTAGAAGTTGCAATCCATATGAGGAATGGCAAATAACTATTCGCCGGCAAGTTTGGGATAGAATCATTATGACAATGATTGACCATCATTAACCATTATTAACCTCTGATTGGGCATTTTCATGGGCATTGTTTATTTGTGTTGTTTGTAGCGTTTTTGGCTGAATTTTTGATAGCGGCATTCGGTGGCAGGATTCGCTGTTGACAATGTTTTCCAGAATCCTCCCACCAACGTAGAATGCTGGAAAGCGGTGGCAAATGCAATGGAGAAGACAGGCGAGGGGACAATGGAACTCCAGAGCCATCCTGCTACTGTCTGTGGTTTTGGTCGTGCTCGTCCTGTTCCTTGCGCTTTTGTTACTCTTGCTCTTGCTGCTCCTGCTTCTCTATGCCTCTCTTGTCTTGGCTCACCCCGAAGTCTTTGTGGAGGGAAGCGACTTGTACCTGGCTCCAATGGGGCGGGTCGGGGACAGTGGAACTCCTGAGCCACCCTGCTACTGTCTGTGGTTTGGGTTGCGCTAGTCCTGTTCTTTGCGCTTTTGTTATTGCTCTTGCTGCTCCTGCTTGTCTTGCCTTGGCTCACCCCGAAGTTTTTGTGGAGGGAAGCGACCTGTACCTGCACATGAAACGACATCGGTTTCAAGAGACAGCGATGACATCCGAAAAAGCTTGTCAGGAGAGAAATGGAGAGAAGGGTGTGTCAAGTCTCTGGCTTCAGAGCTGTCGACAAGATTGGCCGTCAAGATTCAGAAATGTCAGGAGCAAGCCGGATCAAAAGAAAGTGACAGCACCAGACAAAGATGCCAAGAGCAAGAAATGTCGCGGACAAAGACTTCCAAGAGATCACGCAGTCGACGGCCGCGGTCAGGGGCCGTTCCTATCGGCTCTCCCTTGTCTTTATAGGTTCTTCCCTCTCTCGAAACTTCCGTCACCCGGCTTGCCCGGGCTTAGGATGTGTGCGCTTTGTCACCCCGTTGTGCCATTGTATTGAATCTCCTTAAATATATTGCAGTATTGAGATTTACCACAATGTGCGCAGGGAATCCGGTAAATCCAACATATTGCAAAAAGGTCCATGCGAAACGTGTGCCCATGGTGTTTTGACGTTTTCTGGTTGACTCTTCGCGGCATCTGTGACTTCACGCGGTTGAGCTGTGCCCATGGGGATGTTTGACTTTAGACGGGCATGCCTGACTTAACACCCGAACCCAGTAACAATAAAAGCAGGCCGCCCCTTTTTTTGGTCAGAGTTATTTAATAATAATGGGAAGGGGTTGTCCATTTGTAAACCGGGATCATTTTGGGAGCATGCCGCTTGTGCTAAGCCAACATGGCATTGGAAAGGATTCGTAAAAAGTCTGGGATTCGCAGCTGGGGCGACTTTGACCCACTTGCTTGGGGAATCTCGGAATCTGGGAACAGTGGCACTTGTGCGCAGAGTTCGTCGAATCCACAGGATGAAGTTCTCGCCAGCAAGCCTCTTAGGCCTGAGTGCTGAGTGCTGCTGGCTCCTGCTGACCCCTGTTTTAGTGCCAGCTGCTGTTGGGGCCCGGCTCTTTTTCCCTGCGGGAAACCATCTTCCGTTTGCAACTGACTTTGTGCGCAAAGGCGGCCACGGCGGCCATGAAGCTGCGCAACTGCAAAATCACGATGGAGACGGCCAAGGGAAAGGGGGGCCAGTGATACTGCCAAAGCAGCGCACTTCACTGCGGACGACTTCAGTGGATCTAATGGTAAGAAATCCATCCCTTTGTACATTCGGGTTCTACATGAGTGCCTTGGCCTGATTGAGTGTGGAATAGTCCTGTCAACATTCAGCTGGGATCCCTCCGCAGAAATAGATTTTATATTGCAATTTTGGCATTCTATCTGACAATATCTCGTGTTTGTTGCCGCAATAATTTTAGTACAACACAATACAATCTAATGATATATATGTGTATATATATATATTTAAATAAATATATATATATAATAAATATATGTGTATATATATATATATATTTATTTTTACGTACATGGAATATAATCAACCAAAATGGGCATGACACCAAAACCACAGATTCTTGGTGATCACAGGCGCGGAGCGATGAAATGAAATCCGCTGTCTTGCAGCTTCTGGACCGGCGGCCGGTGGATTGCTTCAGACAGGGGCTTATAGCGGTTAAACGTGCTTAAACATGCTTAGTTCGTTAGCTAAGTTGGTTCAAATAACTCCAATTTCACTTGGGTTTACAGGGGATAGCTATAACTATGGTATATGGTGGTGATTTGAGAATGGTTTATACCCCCTATTGAAAAAGGGTGATGACTGGGGAATGGTTTATTGTTTTACCCACATGATTGGGGATTGTCATAATCCAGTACGGCTGACACTCATGAATGATCATAAATGTGTCGTTGTGGTTGAAACCCAAGTTCGGAACCACCTTCAATCCTTCTCAGGTTCTCAAACTGCATCAACCCTATCTGGAAGGTGCCTTAATCCACATTATTTCCTATGTTAAACCATGTTAAGCCCTCAAAAACCAACAATTTTCCACATGTTTCCATATTTTTCCACAATTTTCCACATTTTTCCCGAAAAAAAAAACTCAATTTTTTGTTGCTCCTTCCTGGCCCTCCGCGTTGCGGGCCACGGCCGCGCTTTCCGCGCCAGGACATCTTCACCAAGTTGGACATCAATCACAACGGCGCGCTGACACGCTCTGAGTTGGTCAAGATGCCCGTGGCCTGGCTGTCGGTGCTGGATCATTCTGGAGCTATAAAGCAATCTGGAGGTTTCCATGGTGGGACCCCCAAGTCATCCAAGTCATGGATGACCATGACTGAGTATAGGTTAACAAACATGTTGACTTGGCGATCCCTGATTTTAAGAGACACCAGATGGTGGATCGACACACCACTTTGCAATTGAGAACTGGAACATGTCCATCTTTGATTTGGTAAATATAGGTAAATCATCGATCTATTGACACACACATGGATATAACCATGGTATTTTAACCCCCATAAGTTGGGAGAGAAGACCTATAACTACGGCAAAACATATCCACTTAGTTCACTGGAACTGCACTTCCAAACAGTATTGTGAGTTGTAACCAGATGGTGGGTTAATATGGGATCTAAATGGCATCTAACATGGATATGTTCATGGAATGATCATGGGATATCATGACCAACTTGACTGGATGGATTATTGCTCACAAAAATGGTGGTTAAACTATCCAAAATGAGGGATTAAACAGCAACGTTTCAGTGGTTCATGGTGGCCAATAGTGGTTGATATGGATATATATATATATATATGGAGTATAGGAGAGGATCCAGATTCATTTAAGCCATTATTATATGGGGTTAAACGTGGCTAATCGTGGCTGACAATGGGCATTTGAATAGGATCCAACAGGATCTATTTGGAATTATGAATTGGAACATATATATATATATATATATCACCAACATTCACCAACAATGAAGGGATATGAATGGAAATTCATGGGATAGTTAAGGAAGATTTCTCCTGGGAACCTGGCGATGAGTCCATTGGGACGCCAGAACTTGGTGTTGACAGTCTGTCAGCAATGAATGGGAGTCTTTGAACTGGGAGATCTGAAGAATTTGGGGATGAATTTGGAGATACCTAAGGTTTATCTAAGATGGAGTGAAGGTCCTTGTACCCTGTGGTAAATTAACATAACTATGGAAAATCACCATGTTTGATAGGTAAATCCACTATAAATGGCCATTTTCAATAGCTATGTTAAATTACCAGAGGGATCCAGAGGGTAGATTTTCTCAAAGAATTGATGTTGAACAGGAGGGTACTCACGGGAACAATTGTGACCCACAGCGATCTAAAGTTGAAAGTTGCACTCATTTCCGCTTTGCAGGTTTCCTAAGTCCTGAGAGTACCCCCCATCATCATCCAAGTCATGGATGACCATGACTCAGTATTCAAACAACTGAAACCACCATGGTTTTACCTTGGGGATCCCCCATGACTTAAGAAAGCCGCAGACATAAATGTTACTTAAAACGGGTCCTTGAGACAGGCTCCTTCAGGTGGTGAACGGTTAAAATTTAGCCAGATTAATCCTGTTACAATGAGACGAGTGGATCACTACAGTTATAGCAATTTATAAGTTATAACTGGTTGTAAATGGGATTATACATTCCAGAAATGGTGCTATACGTACTTATAACTGGTCAAGGGCCAGAACTGTATTGTACATTATCCATGGTCTCAAACATTTTTGGCTAACAAAAAATGTCAACATGAACAATTCATGCAACATTCCATCTCATGGTCTATGATCACTTTCCCAATCATTATTTGGTTGGTGGTTTGGAACATGTTTTTATTTTCTCATATATATATTGGGAATAATCATCCCAACTGACTTTCATATTTTTCAGAGAAATTGAAACCACCAACCAGTTATTGCTGAAAATCAGGGCATACCAATACCATCCAATACCCTTAATTGCTCATCAAGTCCCTTTGATTCCCATCGTTGATTTAAGGACATATCCATCGTTTCTGATCCATTTCCAATGTTCACTGGTTCACTGCTTTAATCACCGTATTGGCTGCTTCGAACACCATGAACATGGCGGCTATGGTCTCACTTCTTCGGGTCTTAATTTCCATCTATTTCTGGTTGGTGATTTGGAACATGGCTTTTAATTTTCCATATATTGGGAATAATCATCCCAACTGATTAATATTTTTCAGAGGGGTTGAAACCACCAACCAGATTTGCAATTAATTTAAATCACAATTCTAGGTTTAAAACATGTTGATTTCTCTATTTTTCTTGGCTAAATCACATCAAATCCCAATAAAAAGTGTGGGCCACCCTAAACATCAACGACACCGGAGGGTAAAAAGTAATTATCCCATGAATATTCCCCATTTAGTCCATCATTTTCCCATGATTCCCTCATTATTTCCCATCATTATCCCACAAAATTGTCCCAATCAGCCCAATCATATCCCTTTTTCACCCTCCATTTATATCCATTGATACCCTCTTGAATGACTCTAAAATCAGCATTTTTCGAAGCCATTCAAGCTCCATTTCTCCATATTCTCCCCTAAAATTCCCCCTCTGGACTCACCATGAAAATCCCATGGAGAATCTTGCGCCCAGGCGAATGCTATTCCGCGTGACCTCCTAGATGCCTTGGCCGTCGAGGTGACTTCGGATGGAACATCGAGGTTTTACCGTTTTACCTATGAAAAGATATGGAAAAGGTATGGAAAAATCTGGACATACCATGGATATACCCATGTACCTCTATATATATTCATGGTGATTTTCCGGTAGTTGAAAATTAACATCTGCGAGTCAGCTTTTTGGGAACGTTTTGATGCAGTTGAGGTTATGAATGGGTATAACTATGGCGAAAAAAACTCGAGTTGAAATGCATGGTTGGCCGTAGACCAATACCTCACTGAACGACAATTGCTGCATCCTTTTTATCATTTGCCCAGATAACTTATCATTGTATATGGTGGTCGATCTAGACATCCTTGTAAGAAGTTTTAATTGCGAAAGCCGTGCATGTTATGTTGGAAACCCTCGCGAAAGTTTTTTTTCGAGTTCGCGAAAGTAACATTTTTTTTTCGCGAAAGTTTCGCGAAAGTTGGATATCATGATTGACTAACATAGGTTCCGCCAAAGATAAACATGGAGTTCGCGAAAGTTTTACGAAAGTAACATGTTTATTCGCGAAGAATGGCCGTTCCCGGATAAACGAATTTTGATCAACAACCATATGTAATTATTATTCTAGCATCATTTTACTATATATATACTTAGATGTTAGCACAATTTGCTCATGAAACCCATTGTATCATCATTCTAGTATCATTTTACTTGATGTATCATTGTTAGATATTTTATCACCATTTAGAATTTGGATTTCAGATGAGTTTCCTCCAAGAAATCAACTTTGCTTCATGTTTACTAGTTATTTTCCATGTTCTTCCAACCTTTTCAGACGATGTTTATCGCTGGGTGTCAGGACCTAACCGATCTCTTCGATGTTCTGGATGTCGACCGGACAGGCGGCATGGGCAGATGATTTTTTGAAAGGGGGGAAGTGAGAACGATTGTTGAAGGGGATTCTAAACGATATATGAATATATACTGTATGTGTGATACTTTAGGAATATATATATATAATATTTATGAATATATTAGTATATAGATGAATACGTACATATATAAATATAATTACATGCATTATATGTATGTAATTATATACATACATATATATATATACATATGTATATTTATATACATGTATGTATGATACTTTAGCCATCTATCCCTATGTAAGGTTGCTCCGAGCCATGGTGACAGATGGTAAATGACATCCCCAAACCCATCACCTTTTTGAGCCTTCTGATGGTCTGATGGTGTCTCCACTTTGAAACAACAGCCATGTGGAAAGTATATCAAACACCCGACTGGCGAACATGACATGTCAAAATCCTGCAAAAATCATCAAAAGAAACAACCTAGACGCTGAAATTGTCCAACAAAAACTCATTCACCCCAGAATTTTATGGTACGTTGACCAATTTTTTGATGTCTAAACTGCGAACCGTTACACCCCTGCGTGGTTGGACCGGTGGTGCTGCTGCTGCTTTGGAGGCGAGATTTCTCAGCAGGAATTTGTGGATGGAGTCCTGCAGATGGTGGTGCGAGACGTTCCTGCAGAGACCATGAGAGACTTTTCGGCCATGGGCGGTGAGCATTTCCCAAAAAGAGGTGGAATTCAAGCAACAAAACTTGGGATATACCCTCTGGTAAACATACAAAAAGCTATGGAAAATCACTATTTTTAATGGGTAAATCCACCATAAATGCCCATTTTCAATAGCTAACTATTAGTTTACCAGAGGGTAGTGGGATTTACCAGTA